TTGACAGGCTTTATCTCACTTTAAAGGGCGATTACAGTGATTTGACACTTGAAGATCAGTTTACCTCTCATTGAAAGTATATTGCGATAACAGTTGAATGTCGTCTGTGACTCTCAATGGTAAAACAAAACATGTGATGTCATCAGGGTTATATTTATGTGGACATGAAGATTTAAAAATGTTCCTGTTAATAATCGGTAACAATTAGTCAGAGTTTGAAAGATGTGTGTGAAACTAGTTAATTGTTTGCTCGGACGTTAGTTTCTGCTGCCTTAAAGTAGCCAAACATGTGTTAGTGCAGGTCTAAGTAGCTTTAGCTTTACAATGTGGTCCACAATGCTTGACATATCAGCTTTTCACACTTCTTTGAAGCAAAATATTCATATCTGAGAATCCATGTTAAATGTTGCTGCACAATTCCAATAAATACACTAATGCTTTGTTTTTCACATTCCTCTAAAAGTCAAGCTGACAGTTTGGTATGTTTAAAACCTTTGGGATCTCTTGTTGTACTTAATATCAAATCCTGTGAGTTGAAACAAAGCTTGGCTGCTCTGCATGATTTTCTGGCAAAGACTGTTGGGTTAGAGAGGTTGAACTCCAGATGATGGTTAATATATCACTGAAAACACATTGGCATTGCTGTCAGCAACTCCTCTGGCATCATACAGTAACAAACAATCAACAGTTAAAACAATTAACATGCCATAACTCAGTGTGAGTTTTATATTTAATGTGCGCCACTCCCTTCTCTCTCTGCCTTTTACAGCACCCTCGAGAAATGACACAAATGTCTGCAGGGAGACATGGAAAAAAGAGGCAAACAGAAAACAGCAGAGTCATCCAGTTCTTCAGAACACAACTTTAATCAGAAACAGAGTCACTGCTTCTTTGAAATGTCCTTACTCACATTTATCTGCTCTGACATGTTTAGGGACACTGATGACAAAGGCTTAATGAAAGAAACATGTTAGAAAGACCCAGTATTTACAGGAAAAAGCATGATAATATCAACATTTCCTTCAGAAGATGTGAGAGTACAAGTTTCAGGCTTGAGGAGTAAGAGGGTGTTTCTCAATGTCGAGGAAAGCTCCTCCAGAGCCACTATTTCAAGGATGCTACGTAATCGAGTCCCGCCGAAGGACTGTTCCAATGTCCAGGATCCTTGGAATTCTACAGAGGCCGGCGTCCTTCATTGCGGGAAATTTCGAGGCTGCACATGTGTATCCTCCGTGGTCTTAAAATCCCCACAATGCTTTGCGCACGGACCAATTTCCAAAATCTTTGGCGGAAATCGCGCTCCATTTAAGGCGGGGCCTCGCATATGACGCACACCTGCACACCTGTTAGCCTGTTCCACCATTCTTCGTTTTCCGAGGCTAGGAAGGATTCTTGCCTCGCTTCTGAAGGACCTGACTCGGAAGACATGTCCTACCAAGGAAGCGTCCTCGACATTGAGAAACACCCACAGATTACATGTAACGGGATGACATAATCAAGATACCAAAAAACTGTATTCCCTTACAGTTACATTTAAATAAAATGCATGATCAGATTATAGATTTTTTCAAACGAAGATTGCTAGCAGGATAACAGTGTTTCAATACATTTTTAAATAAAGATTAGTACATTATAATAATTATAAAAGACCCGCTGTCTGAAACTAGACAACTCTGATTGGTTAGCTGACCACTCACTGTTGTGATTGGTCAACCGTTTAGAGATGTCCCGCCCCTTAGCCTATCACGTACGATGTGTTGTCGTGCTAGCCAATAGAAACATGAGTTACATAGTGATGTCACTTTGTTTGTGGGAGAGAAAGACCTCTACGAGAGCTTTGGGGATTTTAGTCTTTGCAGACCATTTACATGCACCAAAACTTATATAACACACCAACAAATCATAATAGGGCCTCTTTAAAGGTGGGGTAGGTAAGTTTGAGAAACCGGCTCGAGATACACTTTTTGTTATATTCCATGGAATGCTCTTAACATCCTGATAGCAATGAATATCTTAAGTGCTTTGACAAAAAATCCATTAAAAAATGTCATCTGTGGAAGCCGTAGTACTGTAAAAAGCACGACCAATCATCTGAGCCGGCCCGGCTAAAATAACTGGATGGCCTACCTGCCTGTCAGCCTTCCATCTGTGCACAAACTTATCTCGTGCCCTCATTGGTCATGTGCGCGTTCGTGTGTGTTGGAGGAGGGGCTCTGTAAGGAAGTGGCAGATTTTTTCCGGTTGTGTATTTTCAAATTCTTGCGCACTCGAGCTGGTTTCTCCAAAATTACCTACCCCACCTTTAAGATAAAAACATCTTACTGATATGACTTTCTCTTGTCTTTATTTGGCTTTCATTTGATGTTGAGGTGATCGGAAAGTAACCAGGTTACATCACTGTTATATTAGGTTAATGATTCCTTTTTAACAGCTAACTAGTAATTATAACCGGAATACATTTTTCAAGTTTCCCCGAAAACTACTCACTGGTTTTACTGTGCCCTTGAGTCTTTTGACAATGGAAGCAGCCTTATTTCCAGCGCTCATGGATCACATTGCTGCAGCGACACAAAGAAGGAGCGGAGATGCTTTGATTCTCCACACAGGACAACGCAGGGGTCAACACCCCAGAACAAGCCCCCCAGTCTCACCTCCCTGCCTCCAGCCTGTCCTTTATACAGCTCTTCTTATTAAAACCCCTCTCCGGTGCTTCTTGCAAATCCCATCAGTCTGTTTGTCCGGATCTTCCACGGCGGCTTTTCCCGGATCTTGAGAAAAGAAGGAATTGAGAGAAAAAGAAAGAGAGAGAGAAAGGAGGGCTGAGGTCACTCTCCCAGAGCATGGATCCAGGATTAGAGGAAAAAGAGCAAATACCATGCAGCGGATATAGAGGGAGGCAGCCTTGAGGGTTAAGTCGCCAAACAATAGAAATTAATTAGAACTCCCTCCGTGGAGCAATGCTCTACTGATTAAGGATTGGAGGATTATTGGATAAGCACATGAAATACTGCTTCTTGTGAAGAACCGGGCCTCTGTCACTATCATTTCAATGTGAAGCAGCCATGTCAACTTTACACTGCTAAAGTATTTTGGCATAAAAGTTTGCTTAGGGTCATAATGTTTTTCTAAACTAAACAAAAATCACTGCAATAGTTAAATGTTATTTAACCTTTTAAATTCTCCTTTAGTACTTTTAAGTTGGTAAAAATGACTGTCTGTTTCTTTAATTATTATTTATCAACTTATTTATAGAGAAACAACTCAAAATATTGAGCAGTCACAGGTTTTCAAATGTCAGGATTCAACACCTTTCTCTGTTTATATAAATGTACACTATACAAAATAAATAATTGTCCATTATCTGTGTCAATGTTGATCTATAACTGTGCATTATAAGTTTGCCAAGGTTACAGGTGTGCAATACTTAAAGTGGACCGATCATGCTATATTTGAATAATATAGTGTAGGACCATACCTATATAAGGCATATTTATACTTTTTTTTTTTTCAAAATACCAAACAGATCATGCATTTTAGCCATGCCTCATTTCGCTCAATTCGCAAGGGCTGATTCTGTGAGAACAGCACCATCTACAGGCCTGGCATATGTACTACAGCGTCTCCAGCGCTTTCGAACGGCAATGGCCGTGGCTGTCTCCTCCTGATTGGTGGAGTTGGCCCAATAGCCGTAGCGCCACCGTCCTGACGTCAGGACAGTGTTCAAATCTGGATCAGTTTTTATCAGATCCGTTGCGGCCCCTTTTTTAGAGATTTGAGTATGGAGGAAAATAGAGAGGGTTGTGTTTTCTGACACTTGGTGAGTTCCCTGGAACACCGGGGACACATATTCATGTATAAAAGACGTACACAAGTGCATTTTGCATGATAGGTCCCCTTTAATATATGGAGAACTGGTTTAAATGTACGACTGTGGAAAACTAACTTTAGCGACTCATGTTAGACTGAGCTTCAACAGGATCTTATTCTCTATCCTGTTAATTCATCAAAGATAACAAGCAGAAGAGTATGTTTCTATTGATCATTAGTGATTGTAAGTTGAAACTGACAGAAAATGTAGCATCATGAAAGAAAAATGAATGAGTTTGCTGCTTTTCTCCGGATACAATCAGTGTTTAAAGGCTGGTAAACCACATTTGGCTCAGTCAGTCTCTCGCCTCAGGGTCAAAAGATCAGAGACAACAGCAGAGAACCACAAGATAAAACGACGCTGGAAACTCAAGGCCAAGTTACCCCCTCCACACACACACACACACACACACACACACACACACACACACACACACACACACACACACACACACACACACACACACACACACACAGGTGTCCGGGAGGAAGAGGCTTTGTTGCTGTCCCTCCCTCCCTCCAGGCAGGCGGGCAAATGATGATGAGGAGGAGGAAGTTATAATTTGAGAGCCACGGTCAAGAAAAATGTGCAGCCTTCACCATGACTGATAACAAGCAGGATGTGAACACAAATGAGAAGGACGGAAACTCAACAGTTAAGGCTCAGTGAGGTCCCAGAACAACATCTAACTAATCCCAAAAACATAAGATTGCTTTAAAATTGTAGTTTGGTTACCGCTGTAGCCTACTATTCAAAGTAAACTATCTTAACAGCAATGATATCATTTAATTATAGTTGTTAGGTCAAGTTATGTCTTGTTTAGATAACTTTGGCACATCACATTAACTATCACATTAATAATGTTTAAATAATATAGATTTAGCACAATGATGTCATTATTATATGATTTGAACGCTGCTCGGCAAGTTTGCATTACGTAAAAGAGAAATAACCGTAAGTTATTAGAGGATATTTAAACACTTAACATATCGAGGTCCCACACACCTTGTACAAATTGGCGATTATTTTGCAGTGTGCACCTCACCGGGGAAAACAACTCACTCCACGCCCCCAAAATGTCCTCAGAGGCGGGGGAGTCCGGTCAGTGAACACACGTTACAAACACTCCTCCAGGGCGCACGGGGGACGCGCGTAAAAGCAACCGAGCTGCTTCATTTCAGCAGTGAAGAGCAGCGTTGAACTTCTCCACAGTCTCTCAGTCAAGTTTGGACTTTCCTTCCTCTCGTGAATCTCGTTTTGAGCCTCGTTCACCTGTGGGTTATATTCTTTGTTGAGAACCGGAGGTGTGTTTCCTATGATGCTCGGATATCCCAGGAGTGTTGGTTCCATGCTTTGGATACACAATGTGAGGATTTATGTCGGAATAAACAAGGACGCTGCGTAAAGGAAACCCCGAAATCCCCAGTGTGACCAGTGAAGATCGTTTCACTCCAAAGTGCGGAATGGGGCGGTTATGTACACTGCTTCTTGTTGCTTTTTTGGGTAAGAAACTTTTACTAGATTAATCAATGCAAGTGTGGAGTGAAAAACATGTTGGACTCCACGTGTGCATGGAAAACAAAATAAGCTATGTTGCACAAAATCAAAAAAGGATGAGATCTTCCAAACTATTTAATCATTTTTTGTATGTCTAGTTTTTTTTTTTTAAATGTTTGAAGCTTGTATCAGATTAAACCCTGACATCTCTTCATCTCAACACACCTGTTTACCATCATGGCTGTGTGTCTGTGTCCAGCAGGGCTAATAATAATCATATTTTCTAGCTTAGTTATCCCCTATGCCACAGTGATGAACATGTCTGAAGGCTAAAAGGCAATAAAAAAGCTTCCCTGGGGCAGCTGGGCAGATGAAAGCACTGGAGAGTTAAGAGCCACTTAAAACATCCATTCCTGATGAAAACCTGTCTGAGCAACAGAGGATTATGGGAGTGCAGTTGACCCAATACATCTGCTGGCAGTGACAGTGAAGGCAACATTTGGCTGCAACTTCAAATGACTGGGTTGAGATAAAACGATATGTTGGAGTCCACTTATCCTTAAGTGTCTATAAGTGAATCCAACGTTCAATTAGGTGGTGTGTTATTTTTCATAGATGCAATGAAAATGCACTGTCAGCCTAGATTAGTGTGTGATGTAAATATATTTGGGCGAGAAAACCTCAGCGAGAACTTCGGAGAGTTGAACGTTTAAAAAAGGCTTGGAGCCGCTTGTGATCCATTTTTGTATTTATATGAATATAATGAGACTTCTGCTGGACCACACAAGGGTCTTTAAGTTTAATTACAACTATAAATATCCAGCCGTTTTTAACAAACTGTCAAGTGATGGCTTATTCTACAACTTCCTATGTTCATCTTAATGTTGGGCTAAGAAGAAGGGCAGTTATATCCCTGTCAAGTTTTGATGATTTCCAGGACAGGAAGTGGACACCGGAGTTTGCAACAACAAAGATAGAGAGGGACATTTAATTGAAAAACTATTTTATAAATTTGTATTACGTATTAACTTGCACTCAACCTATACTGCATCTGAGGCTGAAGCCCATAATCATTTGTAAGATATATAAAAAAGGGAAATAGTATGAAACTTAAAAAATTGCTTTTCTCTACGTACTACAGTTTGTAGCATGGCCGACACAAATTAAGTAATTTGAACAAGCATCTGGTTTTATTTGACAATTTGATCATTTATTTAAACTATCAAAAGTAATGGTTAATATAAGATTGAAGGTGAATTAACCTTACAACTTCAGCTATCATGGATACATGTTAATTCAAGTTACACAAATACAGGGAACTATGTTTAACATATATTCAGAAAAACAAGTGTCAAAGATGCAAAGAAAAATTAACCCCATTAAGCTTTTATGTCATACTTATGTAGTATGAGTTTATTATGCTTTATGTGTTACATATAACGGCAAGAGAAAAGGGAATTCCTGCACACCTTTGTTTACTTTCGTTGAAATGTAATACTGAGGCAACATTTATGTCCTTTGTCCTTGTGGAGATGAAGACGTTGTCTCAGTTATATGTTTCCTATATGTGGGAATGGGAATGCGTTTGGGAATTCCCTCTTTCCTTTTGGACTTTTCATCCTGAGCACCTGTCTACAAGTAATTGACGGTGTGCATCAGCCTTCAAAGTCTCGTACAGTACATATAGACAACATATAAAACATAAATAGAGGTTTCAAAAGGATTGTATTTAGTGAGATAAAAAAAGAAGAAAATAGTATATAATATATATTTAAAACTCAGCTTGCTAACAAGTTTATCAGTTGAACTCTGAAACACACACTGCTACAGTTCTGCGTGTTTTCAGGCTGAATGACATTTACTACCATTATGTTTCAGATGTCTGGCAACCAACTGTGATATGAGTTTTAAAAGCAGCACCAGACAGCAACATCAGTCACACTAATAAGTGCTGCAATTACAGATCTTTCAATCATAAAAATAACCCAAATAGGTACAAATAACTGAAAAATGTCTTGGACAACATACAGTAAGTTTAACAAACAGAGCTTAACTCCAGCCGCAGAAATTAACGGCTAGTCACAATTTCAAATCAACCAAAAGGGATACACTTCTTATGGATTTGGACTCCCATCAGCCTTAAGTGTAGACTACTTTGTGTTTAGTGCAAAATTAGCAAATATGTGCATACTAGCCGACTAAATAATGATTATGTTCAGGGGGAACATTTAGCATTGTCACTGTGCTGTGCATGTTGCAACATTCTACTTATGCTACAGACCATCAGAACTTGTAGCAACATGTCAGCCTGTTGTTGTTGTTGTTGTTAGCCTGTAGCATCAACATGCTAATGCTACAGCCCATTAGAACTTGTAGCATAACTCTTACTTTTGGTCTAGCTGAAAGAAAATTATTTTTATTTTTTGGGGTCCTGCCTACAGCGCAGTGGGAACTGAGATAAAGTAAAGGACCGGGTCCCAAAATGAGTTGAGATGAGTCCTGCAGAGCCGTACCATTCAGTGGAAACCATTGACTGTAGCTGAGATACTAGCATGGATAAAGAAGCTTTTTAACAGCAAAATCTATATTTTATGATTTCACCTCAAGCTAAATGTATATTTCAAATGTGTACTCATACTTTTAGTGTTAGAAAGTGCAGTATTTCCCTCTGAAATCAATAGACGTAGAAAGTCTTCCAAATGAAATAAAAACTCAAGCATCGCCAGTATACTTCTTTGAAATTGTACCACTAACTTTAAAGTTGAAATCCTAAAATGTTACGTTATTTCATTCCACCCCCGTAAAGTCTAACATCCTCACTGCCAAAAGCTAAGATAACACAAAGAACAGTCCTTTGTCTGGTCTCCGCTCTGGCACTTCTCTCTTCCCATAAACGATGTGGAGCCTCTCCACTTGTCAGGGGTCCCAGTGCTGTGACCTCACTGGTGGGATCAGGCCAACTGGAAATGTTCTCTGTGGTTTGGGGCTCTGGGAGTTTTGTGGGCGCTTTGATTTGGATAGAGAGCAGCAGTTTGGGAAAGCTGCATCAGTGAGGGATTGCTGAGGGTTTGAGTTGAGCCAGTCTGATTATTGCCTTAATGTGGGGAGGTTTTTGGTCTTTAAAGAAAGCGATTGGAACAAACTCTCACCACTCACACATTCAACGCTCATTAACTGTGTAGAGAAGGAGCTGTATGATGCTTCCTCTTAAAAAAAGTAATTTAGCAAAAGGGGCTACACATAATCTCTATAATAATTTTCTTGTTTTCCATTTTGAGTTCTTGTTTGACTTTATGTAAAACGTTTTTTCAATGAAAATGTGTTTCATTAGTTATGATTTTTTCACAAATGAATAAAACACGTCTTATTGAGCCTAGTCTGGATCAGGTCTGTCTGTCACGTCCTTACAGTGTAATGTCTGATACAGAAACACTTCCTCCAGCATTTGTCACCTAAAACGGTTAAATAAGATGCATGCTTGACTTTCATTTTTCATTTCATGCAAGTTATTCATTGAGTAGAGTTCAAATGTGCTTTCCTTTTAACCATTACACATATATGGTGCGGAGCGGCTGTGGCTCAGTGGATAGAGTGCTGGACTTCGAATCAGGGGGTAGCAAGTTCGAGTCCCACTGCAGTCAGCATGTCGTTGTGTCCCTGAGACACTTCACCCCAAATTGCTCCTGTGGGGATTGCCCACAGTACTGAATGTATGTAAGTCGCTTTGGATAAAAGCGTCTAACAAATGACATGTAATGTAATGTAATGTACAGTATTTGAAAGTGGGAAGTCCCGGATTCTTTGAAAACTGGGAAGAATACTAAATTATATATATAATATTGAAGTTTCTGAGATTAAGTCAGTTTCCCTGTTGACAAGGGCATACATAATCCCTAGAAAGCTGCAACAGTACACCAGGAGATGATTCACCATCTTGTTATCAGCTCCCTTTCTTCAACATTTGTATAACATCTGTTGCAGAACTGATATCAAGGTTTCTTAATCCAACATTTTAGATTCTTTGGAGCTGTCCAAGGTTTTGGCTCTTGGCTGAGAGTTATCTTTTTGTTTTTCAAAAAATAAATTGCATAAATTTAAAGCTCATTTGTCAATTGCCAATTTAAATAAACTGAACCGTTAGCTTAGGTTTGTTGAACCTCTGCTGACAATAATGAATCAATTAAGAATATGTTCTTGATGTACCGAGTAATTGTTATTTGCTTGTCAGAAAATGGTTGTTTGTAAAAATGTAGGTCCAAGGTGATGTCTTCTAGTTGCTGTTTTTTACCATGAGTCCAATGGGAGCCAAACATATTCCACTAGCTACCAATAAGACCAATAAAACAAAACCGCATATATCTACCTTTGAGATCCTGAGTATTAAGTTAGCTTACTTAATATCTTCTTGATGTACTTGTATCTTGTTACTCGACTCATCATTTTGACACAAGAAAACTACTATAAACAAATGAATAAGGTTTGGATGTTTAATATTGTTAATTGTACAGCTTTTGTTGTGTGTATGATTGTACTTCTCATACTTTGCTTCGGGAGAAAAACATCTGGGTATTTAAGCTTATCTGTTGTATGCAAATATCTTTATTTTGATAGCTTTTATTGTGTGTGTGTGTTCTACCCTGAAATTCACCTGCTATTAAATCAGAGGCGTGGAAACCTTTGTGAAAGTAAAAGACAAAGTGTATTTGCATTAAGCATCTCCCCAGGTTTCCTTTTTATATTCACAACCACGTTGGTAGTTTTTACTCTCCTCATTGTAAAAACAAACTTAGGGTCTTTCCCCTATCCTAAACACACACACACACACACACACACACACACACACACACACACACACACACACACACACACACACACACACACACACACACACACACACACACACACACACACACACACACACACACACACACACACACACACACACACACACACACACACGGCAAACTGAAGCCTTTTCTTAGATTTATTTGACCACATCACAGCCAGCAGCGTTACTAATGCAACCAGCTGAGTCGGGGGCTCACGTCTCTGCAGTGTTTCCACTGAGCAGCGCTGTGATGTGGTGATTTGCACACAAGCCTCTGCTAACACGTAGGAGTTTCTGAGCGTTAAACAACTGGAAGGAGCTTTGTTCTTAATGGAGCTTTTGGTTTCTTTAATCAGATATCTTTCTTGTTCCTCCCTTGGTGTTATGTGTCTGAAATAAAAACCACAGCAGCATACCAAAGTGTTCAATGATATTGCCAGGCGAGTTGGGTCCAAATAGAAATAATTTAAGTCAAAGTCTTCGTATTTCAAGGTAGATTTTGTTGATATTAGAGTATTACATGGAATAAATCCTCGCTGGAATGTGAGCTTCAAGGCTTTTCTGTGGCTGCAGGCTTTTGGAAATGCTTTCATTTCCGATATTGTATCCCCTTAAGCTCAGTCCATTGTTGAAGGTATAGTTATTTCATGTGGTGCATCGGGGCTACACGTTCAGGGTGGGAATTCATAGTTTTCAAACCTCAATACTGCTCTTGTCCCTTTTTTTAAGATTACTTTTTTATGTTACTTGAAGTCTATTTTAATGGAAGCAGAAAGCCAGGTCTCAGTTGTTCACCTTTAACATCTAAGCTTTGCATTTTCATCACATGTTCAGCTAATATTAACCCATGAAGACTCCACTCATACCAGGTGTTGCAGGTCACCGATAAAGCCCTGTAATCCCAGGGTGATGACATGAGTTAAAATGACTACATGAGACCCTCTAAAAGCTTCAAAGAAGACTGGCTGATTGAATAAGCAGAAAGAAAATATGAGAGACACTTCAAAAAGAAACTTAAGAGCAATAGACTTTAGCAGTGGCCTTTAATGTAATTCATTAGAGTTCAACGATCAAAAAGAAGGAGGTTCTGCCAAACTAAACTCATTCTTTAGTGGTTTCACATTTGAATAGGGATCAAACATCAATGAATGGAACTTTTTAAACATTAATTTTGTGTTGGATCCATTTTGTGTGTGTGTTTTGTTTAGTATCAATTGAGGGGTTTAGTATAAATCATAACACTGCTTTAATGCTCAAATCAAACAAAAAGAGATAAAGAAACTTGTATCCTTCAAAGCTTTGGAGTTTTATCAAGCAAATAATCTGAATCCTGAGGTGCTTCCATGTAATACACACATCTAAGCCTTTTTCTTTTGTATATATATTTTAAATTCCCAAACAATCATGCATATAAGAAGAAGATAAATGACCTGAGCTAAATCTTTTGGTGTCCTTTCTGTTCCTGCAGGCTGGGCTGAAGGAGGCTCTTCTCTGCACCACCCAGACGTCGGGTCCAGCCGCCTCGCTCTGGAGAAAGCCTTCGGTCGGTCCCTCAAAGACTCCCAGTGCCAGCACATGTTGAAGCACCTTCACAACGGAGCCCGCATCTCTGTGCTCATGCCTCCCAACGTGGAGGGGCACTGGGTCTCCACCAGGTAAACAGCTATGTGTTTTTGTGCATCCTTGGGAGCCTCAAAGTTGACATGGAGGTCAAGTGTCTTTCTATGTACCTTTGTGTTATAGGAAACAAAGGCTTTTAACTATCCAAATAGTTTAGGCTAGTTTCAAATTAAAAACGTTTTCTGAATCAATGAACCCCCCCAGCACTTTACCCTACATGGTACAGTGCAGTCTGAAGACCTCTACTATAAAGCCTATTGGTTGCTCTCACTTCCTGTTTGGCAGTTAGCAGCAGATTATCTGTGTTGGAGCTAATGCAACAAACATTTTGTGAATTGAAGAGAAGTAATACCTATAACTGGAGTTTAATGGAATTAATTACTACATTCATTGAGTCTTATCCATTATGAAGGTGAATGATATCAGTAATCATATTGAAATGACCAGAAATTAATTGTGTTGGCATGCTATACCAACATGTGCTAATAAGGCTATGCTAACATGAGCCACAGCCACAGAGGCCTGGACTAACAAACACAGTTTTCAATTAATTTCTTTCTGGTTTCTGAATTGTTATGCAAATATTTTAACTCTGACCCCATTATAAAAGTGTAATGGATTACGGTGATATTAAGCACATTTTCAAGTCCCTGCAAAAAGTGGAATCCAAAATGTGGTCAACAATCCAATGGGTTTTTAGTTTCAGATGTGCCCCCTGAAGTATCTTAAAGAAGGCTAATTATTACATGCAAATTACATGTAATAATTTGACTTTTTTTACAAAAATGTTTTAGGCTAGTACAAATGAATGTGATAAGAAAGCTTGACTAAAATATATTGTGAGCAGTTAATGAATGAGAAACAGGCTTGAAGCACACTGAAACACTCAGTTCTAGACATGACAAACTCAAAACTTCTTGGTATTTACTTCAACTTCTTCTGCATGTGGTCTTGAATGCTGTTTATCTGAAACCTCTGTTTTTCTGTTGCAGCTGTGAGGTGAGACCAGGCCCGGAGTTCCTGACGCGCTCCTACAGTTTCTACTCCAACAACAGCTTCCAGGCTCACCAGTTCTACTACGAGGACAACCACTGCACCAAACCGTCGTACACTCTGGTGATCCGCGGCCGCCTGCGCCTCCGCCAGGCCTCCTGGATCATCCGCGGCGGCACAGAGGCGGAGTACCACCTCCACCGCGTCCAGATGGTTTGTCACACCGCCACCGTGGCCAAAGAGCTCAGTCAGAGGCTGAACCACAGCTGCAAAGGAGCCGTGACGGGCCCCTGGGAGCCCAGTGTGGCCTACGAGCTGTGGAGCGAGGAGGGCGGATACGACTGCTCCCGGGAACTTAACTTCGCCATGCATGAGCTGCAGCTGCTGAGGTTGGAGAAGCAGTACCTGCATCACAACCCGGATCACCTGGTGGAGGAGCTCTTTCTGGGAGACATCCACACCGAGCCGTCCCAGAGGCTGTACTACAAGCCGTCCAGCTACCAGACCGCCCTGCAGAACGCCAAGGTGAGACACATGATCCTCTTTTATTCAAAGATTACAGGGATGAGGAGGAAATGTGGCTTTGTGGGTTCTTCGTAGAAGTGTGAGAATATCAGTTTATTTAGTTGCTTTATTTGTGTAGGTTACTAATTCCCCTACCAAGGGATTAAAAGAGAAATACAAGGGGTTGTGAGGTGATAACCAGAGTAGAACACAAGAAAAAAACACAATTCTGCAACACAGAAGGGGATTCATCTTTTAGATTGTTCTGATCATTGCAATGTGTTGATGTCCGTTGGTTGGTCCACCGCTTTGGTCCAGATCAAATGTCTCAACGACTATCTGATAATTTGCCATAAAAGGTTGTACAAGCCTGACTTTAGTTATCCTCTGACTTCCCTCCAGAACCACCACAAGGTTCACGTCATCATTTATTAACTCTGCCCCTCCATGTGAGGTCGGCCCAGACCCTAGGGGTTTTTAAATCAACACTAAAGACTCACTTCTTCTCCCTGGCCTTCTAGTCAGAGCGGAGCACGACTCCTGACATTTCCCTGTGTTTGATTTTTATATTTGCTGTTGTAATTTATTGTCTTCTGTTTTTGTGAATGTAGTAATGTGTTATTTATTATTTGCATGTACAGCACTTTGGCTCGACCAAAAATCGTTTTAAAATGTGCTTTATAAATTAAACCTGATTTGATTTGATTTGATTAAGTATAATATCTCAACTACTTTTGAATGGATTGATATGAATTTTGTTACACATGCATGCACCTCTCAGGTTGAATCATAGCAACTAAGGTGCTCAGCTGGGTTTTGTGGTAATAAGAACATGTTGCTTGCATACTAAATTGAGATAGTTTAAGCCTTTCCAGCATCAGCTAGCTCAACCTAGAATAAGAACATATTGAGGCTGGCCAACAACACGTCTTGGTATTTGTCTTTGTTGATGTTGCAAATAGTGCTGCTGTGATGCAAGAAAAGTTTCAGACCTGATCTGACAATAAACTATTATCGTATAATCGTAATGCGTGACTTTAGACTCTATTTAAGATTGTTTCACATCTTGGGGCGACTAAACGTTTTTCAAATGAAGTAAAAGCAATCTTTGGTTGAGTTTCTCAGCGGCTATAGATCAGGGGTGTCAAACTCAATTTCATCGCGGGCCACATTCGCATAAAGGTTGCACTCAAAGGGCCGGTTGTAACTATATAAATATATAATATATATAAAATAATGTATTATATTACATTATTGCCTCTGAATTGGATTATTATCGGATAGGATAATAACTTAGTAATTAACTACGTCTGAAAGCAGAAGTCCAGGGCAAATAATTGCAAGTCTCTTCAGTGTGCATGTCACAAAACGAGATGCATTGTGGGACATGTAGTTTATGGGCAACCTGCTTCTGTAAAGTAGCATGTAACCATATAATAAACGTATTATATTCTTTGCAAGCTCTTGCGGGGCCACATAAAATGAAGTCGCGGGCTGGATTTGGCCCCCGGGCCTTGAGTTTGAGACCCCTGCTATAGATAATATGCCATCTTTGAATGTTTCTTTGTAATTATTAATAAATGAGCAGATCTGATTGTTGCATCTGTAGAGGCCTTTGTCGAGTTTGTTCTCTAGTATTCCTAAAGACTTACTAGAAGCAGCCAGAAAACTCTTCCCATCCTCTGCGTTTTAGGTTTTTTGGAATGCACAACCAAGCAGGGAGTAGAGTTTTGTTTTTCTCCACAGAGCACGCAGCTCTGTGGAGAAACCTCTGCTGAACTCAGCTCCCACTGTGTCAGCCCGTCACACTGAAAAGACCACACACACCAGAAACAGCATGAACTGACCTTAAGAACAGTCCTCTTTTATGAGAGTTTATGTTGAGAGTAGTCGACACAAGAATGTGAGGAGATCTTGGTAGAATATTAGTTGGAAGTAAGTCTTTGTTTTAAGGTTTAGGAGCGTTGGGATAATCAGAAAAGACAATAGATGCTGAACAAGTGTAGAAGGACAAGTGATTGTTATTTTCAGTGATTCATTTTTTATGATACTAAATGCAACTCCACCTGTCTGCGACAACAAACCTCAACTAAGACCAATTCTGATTTAGGATCAGTGTTCATGTCAACAATCTTGCCCTTCCACACTAAACATTTGCACTGTTAGAAACCAGAAACTATGTACATACTGACTTCATCTAACAAATCCAGGATCAAGAAAGAGTCCTTTCTTTCCTCCGCTGTGCTTACGGGATGTAATTTCTCTATTTACACTTCTGAACAGCAGTTTCCCCGCTGGCTGAAACCTTAGAGTGATGTTTTCACTGTCACCCTACAGAGATTACAATGAAATCCTGTTCTGGTCCGCTGTCTAAATAAACACCCATTTGTACAGGGATGATAGGGCTTGGTGTTGCTGATCAGAATGTAAACAGTGTGTGGAGTGAGGATCTGTGATCAGAAGACCCTCCTGCGGTGCTGTAATGACCAGAGCTGCTCCCCTTAAGCCCCTCCGCCCGCAGAGCGCAATGTGAGACCCGGCCTATCTCTGGGAGCGATCAACATGTGGTATTCCTAGGATTTTGAATTATGCGGCCATTTGAAATTTTCCAGAGAGCACATACCAGGTCTGATTTCATGCATGCCTGAGGCTTAAATCAAAGTGTTGCATGTGCTCCATTTCTCCTCAGTTGTCCGTGAACAAGAAGAAAAGAGGTGTTGGACTAAATAGGATTTACTTTGTGTTGCACTTCCAAAGACTGAAACTGAATTACAGCACTGCCTTTAAAGCAGGGGTGTCCAAACTTTTTTCACCGAGGGCCACATGCAGAAATATATTCGAAGGGCTGGGCCACTTACTAGAGGGGAGGTATATTGCCTCATAAGTAAAGTTATAAGTTAGCAAAATTAATCGAATGTAGGTCAATTTTGCTTAATACTTGAATATGCTTTAAGAAAAACAACAGCCTACATCACAGCTCTCCATAGGGTTTCATTTATTTGTTGGTAGCTCATTCCTTAAAACAGAAGCTTCAGATTGCTTATTATAAGAGGAAATATGAAGGGTGTATTTCAAGCATGTTATGAAAATAAGTTATTGGGCATTTTTCTTATCAACTTAGATCTGATAGAAAATGTTTTCAACTTTAACTGACTGAATTAGTTTGAAAAGTGGGCTTCTTAACACATGAATACTGTGTAATATCTGTTTTCATCTATATTTAAGAAGTACAACACAAGACAAGCACAAGTTTCATCTGTGGGCCATACTCCAATATACTTTTTGAATTTGCTGAGGGCCGATTCAAAATGGCCCGCGGGCCGCATTTGGACCCCGGGCCATAGTTTGGACACCCTTGCTTTAAAGCCTAGCCAAAATGACAAATAACCATATTTCCTCACCAATGAGTAAAATCTGTGTGTTTTATTTTTTTTAAATTGAATAATGCTTCTATAATAAAGTGATCCTAGAGATTTACAAACATGTTTTGACCGTCTTACCTCATTTTATAGCTTTGGTCAGATGTTGAGCCCCATTGGTCACCTACTGTAAACCTACAGTAAAGTGGGTTTGCAATTCAGTGAAACAGTGGTATAAAATACCTCACTTCTTCTGACCATCTCTTGAGGTTGTAATGGTTTCTTTTCAGGGATTTTTACTGCTATGGTGACGATCCAATCCATTAATCCTAAGTGGCGTACCCAGAGCTGGTCCCAGTCCAGAGCGTGCTGGTGCCAGCGCGTTCAATCGTGGTTATTGGGTGGATCTCAGCAGTGATGCAAGAGCAAGGCACCAGACTTTGTTTTTACATTTGATTTCAGATCTGGTTTCTCCATTTTCTGTCGCCTGGTTCACCGCTGCGTCATCACTGAGGCGGAGGAACGACCACTTGATAATTAAGCCTGTTAGGAAGAGATCTGTGTCTTTATGTTGTTGTTGTTGTTGTTGGTTAAGGGTATCTTGTTTGTACACGTATCCCACATGCAGAGGTTTATTTGCTGCCTGCCAAGTTTACTTTATGTTTTTTGGTCTTTTGCCTCATCTATGTGAGCCTATAAGCCTTTAAAATATATTTAAATATTGCGCGATGAAGACCGATACACTAAGAAAAGACTCTTGTAATTAACTCCTCGGAAGTCCTCTTTCTGGAGAGATGCTAGTCTTGCTCTAAGATCCCAAAATGGAAAATCACACATGTTGTCACTTGAGGAGAGGTATTCATATCCTTAAGTTAAAGTGGACCTATCATGCTATATTTGAATAATATAGTGTAGGACCATACCTATATAAGGCATATTTATACTTTTATTTTTTCAAAATACCAAACCGATCATGCATTTTAGCCATGCCTCATTTTGCTCAATTTGACCATTTCTAGCTCTGGGCAGATTCAGTGAGAACAGCACCATCTACAGGCCTGGCATATGTACTACAGCGTCTCCAGCGCTTTCGAACGGCAATGACCGTGGCTGTCTCCTCCTGATTGGTGGAGTTGGCCCAATAGCCGTAGCGCCACTGTCCTGACGTCAGGACAGTGTTCAAATCTGGATCAGTTTTTATCAGATCCGTTGCAGACCCTTTTTTAGAGATTTGGGTATGGAGGAAAATAGAGAGGGTTGTGTTTTCTGACACTTGGTGAGTTCCCTGGAACACCGGGGACACATATTCATGTATAAAAGACGTACAAAGGTGCATTTTGCATGATAGGTCCCCTTTAAAGTAGTACCACACTGTGAAAATACCCTATTATAAGTCTTGCATGCAAACCTTTAACTCAGCAAAAGTATGTTGGCAAATCAGTAAAATGTACTTTAGGTTTGAAAAAACAGAAGTCATCATGAAGGAAAACACATGGTTTTTCACTGAAGAGGAAGGGGATGAAAAGCTATAATCTGAAAAGTAACAGGATACATATTGGAGCAAAAAGTACAATATTTATCTCTAAGTACTCAAGTGTAAGTACCTCCAATTTGTTCTTGAGTACAGCACTTGAGTAAATGTTCTTAGTTAAATTCCACCACTGGGCGTAGTGTCAGTGAAATAACCAAGAAGCTTTTAAAGCCTGACGTGGTTTCTGTTCCTCGTAAAAGTTTTGCTTCTGGACATCATCTTCCCCTGAACGATGGCGGTAATCCCCAAAATGCCCTAATGAAAGATGGCTGCCAGACAAAGCGAAACTCTGTTCTAACTCTTCTTGATCTACTGTGGCTTGGATTGAACCTCATTTGTACGTCGGTTCAAACTAAAGTGGCTGCCAAATGTAGCCGTAAAACATGAATTAATAAATGTACTGTATATGAAGTAATGGCAGTAATATCCTCCCTCATTTCCTAATTTATATTCAATTCCAGTAAGGATATGAACTGCTTTGTTTCCAATAGGAAGAGCCAATTTTTTATTGCAACAGTTTACTGAGAGAATCTTGTCTGTGCTTTTAAGAAAAGTTTATCATAGCATCACCTATTTTTTTGGATATGAGGGCTCTTCTGTTTTGAACGTTAGTTGATCCCTTGTTAAGGGAAAATGTGGATGAATTGATTACAGCTGACGGACAAAGACAGGTCTATCTTGACACTTTTTTGAGTAATTTTTCAAGAAAATGTTTTCTTAATTTCAATTAGGGAACTGTCATTTCTACAAAGAAGTGAAATTTGTGAAATTAGTGAGTTTAAAAGCACTTGTTACCTTCAGAGAGAGCCAGGCTAAAATATAACCCGTTTCCAGTCTTAATTTTGATCGACAAAATATTAAATAATAATATATTTGTCATAGTTAAAGGGATTTAGCTCATTTCAAACTAAAACACCACCTCTTACAAGCGTTTGGCTCATTTGAGGTAAATATATGTGTATTTGTCTTGCTGTTCTTAGTTTGCAACCTCATGGTTTTAATTCAAGTTAAATGTTATTTAATGTAATCATTTGTATTTTGCTCTGTGGATTTATATTTGAGAGGGATTAGGACACATATTCAGATACCCCTCTTTGCCATGGATGAGCTATGTGAACAAAAAAAGTGGGAGGTTAGTATCCATAGAAGGAAGATGTGTTCAGAGTCGCGCCATTTCTTTCCATCTCACAGGCCGTCTGTGTTTTAGAGGCTCAAAGTTCCTGCAGACCTGGAACATGTTTTCCACACCTGCCGCAGAGAACCTCCACCTTTTTTAGCTCTTTTCCTTGTGTCAACACATGTAAAGTATATGTTAAAATATACATGCATACCTTTCTCTCTGCACACTGTATTTACTTATTCATTTTCCCCCTGCTACATTCTTACTTACACACACAAACACAGATGCAGAAGTGCAGTAAAACATACTCTCATGCACACAGGAGGCCTCTCACAGCGCTGTGGAGCTGCTCAGGGATTATCTCATCAGTACGATGGAGGGATACTCATGTTTTCCTCCGCTTCTTTTTGCATTGATTAACTTCCCATACATTTCGTGTGGACATAATGTTGTCTGGGGAAAAGAGTGATTGGTTAGGGGAAGGTCAGGTCTTACATTTTGGCCACCCTGATAACAAAACTCCACTGACTCCCTGGAGTTCAGTTTTTGGAAAATATTTAGTGTAATAAAGTTTGATGAAGGTCCCCAGCTCTGAGTCTTTGAGCCCCACAGCTGTGCATATTATGATCACATGCTGCTCCAGGGTCCACTAAACCAGACACGATGCGATCTTAACGTGATTAATGATCGTTTATACACTTTTTTATCGATACGAGTGTGAAGAAAGGACTTCCCGCTGTTGTTTGTAAGTAGCATGATGTTTAAGCCCTCTGTTCGCTGCGGGACTTCCCGTTGTCATGGCTTAAGTTCAACCAGACAGATGTCTTTTTACGGAGAAATGATGTGATCACCATGAGAAAATGCTGGAGCCTGTCTGGCTTCCAACACTCGAGAGATACAGACTGGAGGAAATAGTTTTTCCTCCTTTAACTTTAAGCAGACGCCAAAGAGTTTGCTTTTTTATTGTGGATTTCCTGATTCTGATGATGGATTTAAAAAGCTTTCAGCACTGTTGGGTTTTATTTGACTGGAAGTTCATACAGTGATATTCAGTGGGAACTGTAGTTTTTCATCACTATTTTTTATTTACAGTTTGTGCTACCCTGTGAAAATGTTATTTTACACTACGGTCTCCATTTGACATTAACTTATATACTAATAAATTGTATTAAGAAAATGGCAATGAATAGTTTATTCATCTTGTTAAAGGTAGGGTAGGTAAGAATGGAGAAACCAGCTCGAGTGCGCTAGAATTTGAAAGTACGCAGCCGAAAAAGATCTGCCCCTTCCTTCAGTCTTCCTTACAGAGCCCCTCCTCCAACACACACGAACGCGCACATGACCAATGAGGGCACGAGATAAGTTTGTGCACAGATGGAAGGCTGACAGGCAGGTAGGCCATCCAGTTATTTTAGCCGGGCCGGCTTAGATGATTGGTCGTGCTTTTTACAGCGCCACGGCTTCCACAGATGACATTTCTTTAAGTATTTATTGTCAAAGCATTTAATATTCATTGCTATCGGGATGTTAAGAGCATTCCATGGAATATCACAAAGTGTTTCTGAAGTGAATTACCTACCCCACCTTTAAGTGCAAATGTAAGGGATTTTGTGATAATCAAACAATTTTTAAATGTTTCTGATTAAAGCATCTTTATATTAGGTTAAAAATATTACACATTTTAATTATTATTCATGGTGGGTTTAATCTCCTGCTTGCAGTCATTTCCCAGTGACGTTTAACTATTTTTAAGTTATTTCTATATTCCCTCTATTTCACCCCTTTTTGTATTTTATGACATTCCATTTCAATCCTCCCATTATTCAATTCAGTTCTTAAAACTACAGTTCCCACCAGGTGGAGCTTTTACCACCCTGCAAAGGTTGGATGCCCTTGTTATTTTTTACCTCCCTGCCCATACTTCTAATACAAAAAGCACAAGTTTGGTTGTAGTCATTTGTTTTCATACCTTTAGTCGTTTTTACTCTATGTTTTGCTCTCTACTTTGTTGTATCTTCTAATACAGGGGGGTCAAACTCAAATACACAGTGGGCCAAAATAAAAAAATGGGTACTAGTTGAGGGCCGGACTGGTTCAATGTTTATTGCAAAACTTATTGAAATGAACTTATTGCACATATTAAACCTGGAACTAACAAAGCTTAAATTATTGCCTATAAAAACAACATTAAACATTAAATAATCAGTTGCATTCATTTCTTATGGCTCTATCTGCAGCTTTTCCAGAGTCATTTCTTATGATTACTTTCTCCACAGGCGACACAGCTTCAAAAAAACAATTTCCCTCAAAGAACAAACCAAACCTGCCCTGTTGTCTCAAGAAACAAAGTGCAGAAGGAAACATCCATTAAACTGAGTTGCTGCTCTGTGATGCTAGTTGAAGCCAGATACTTGGCATCTCATCTCGGGTGCAAGTTCATCAATGTTTGGGGTCAGGCTCTAAGCTGAGGAAGGTGTGCGTGCAATATACCAGCGGGCCAGATCTAATAGTAATTACAAATTATCCTGCGGGCCGAAATTAAATCCACCAAGGGCCTGATTTGGTCCCCGGACCTTGAGTTTGACACATGTGTTCTAATACATCTTCTAATACGAAAAGTATTACATTTCCTTGATAATTATTATGTTTCGTTCTTTATTAAGGATCGTTATTTTACCATTACTGCTGTTCCTTTTTTTATACATGTATACGAGGCTCACCTTTCACCTCCCTTTCTCCCCAGAACCACGACCACGGCTGCATCGACTGCCGGATCATCTTCCGCTCCGACGCGCTGCACCCCCCCATCCTCGCCCCGCGCGCCGACCTGACGGTGGGGCTGTACGGTCAGTGGGTGAGCCAGCGCTGCGAGGTGCGCCCCGAGGTGCTCTTCCTCACCCGCCACTTCATCTTCCACGCCAACAACCACACCTGGGAGGGCCACTACTACCACTACTCCGACCCCATCTGCAAACACCCCACCTTCAGCATCTACGCCCGGGGGCGCTACAGCCGGGGGCTCCACTCCACCCGCGTGATGGGCGGGACAGAGTTTGTCTTCAAAGGTAACCGGTTAAATTGTTGACCCTGGTAGAATGGTCTCTTTTACTCCCTTTATTGTACATGTGAGGGTCTATGTATGTATGTATGCTTTCTGTGTTTGACAATGTCACAAATAAATCATATATACATTTAAAAAAAACTAAACTAATGACAAGGACAAAGATTTTATTTTATTTTCCTGTCCTACAGCTGTGGTAAAGAGTCAAATATACCATCAATTCTCTGAGGGGGGACTACATTTGAAGTGACTAGAAAACCAAATGTTACTCCTCAATTTTCTGTCCTTACTTTCTGAAATGAATACAAATATGTTTGCCATCTCTCATCAGTGTGATTTAGACTTTAGGCTCTTTTAAAACTTGTTCTGCTTGTAGCTTTATAAAAACATGTTTGCTGAATATGCACATTTCACCAGTTTTGCAGCATTTTCAGCAGAACAGCAGAAAAAAGACTCTTCAAATTCAGCAACGATAGGATTATATGATGAGAAGCAATATTTATTTAACCTCCAGACAGAATATCCAGTTGTTGCAGCAGAACAAAGGAAGAAATGGGTAGAGAAAATGTAAAAAGAAATTGTCAAGTAGTTTAAAAATAAAATAACTTTATAATGAAATACTAAATTACAAGGTTAGTGATTAGTATCAGCTTAGTTCGACTTAGTTGAAGTGTAATGTTATCATTATAATGTTTATAGTACAACAGACACTTATATAATATGAGTAAGTTAAGGCCGTATTAGTATAGGTAAAAGTTCTAAAATAATTTATTACAAGGAAATCTCCTTTATTCAAGTTTTTACATTAAATATATGCAAGTATACATACGTTCAAGTAAAAGTATTCATTATGCAGAGTAATCCATTTAAAAAGAATGTATATGAAAATATTGGATTTTGAGAAAGTCTTTAGAAACCTGGATGTTCAGGACTGCTGTAAGAAGCATTTGGCCCTAACAGGTGTTCTTGTGTCTTTCCTCGTATAGTGAACCACATGAGAGTCACTCCCATGGACGTCGCCACCACCTCCCTGCTCAACGTCTTCAACGGTAACGAGTGTGGGGTGCAGGGCTCCTGGCAGATGGGGGTGCAGCAGGACGTCACCCTGACAAACGGCTGTGTGGCGCTGGGCATCCGCCTCCCCCACACGGAGTACGAGCTGTTCCGCATGGAGCAGGACGCCCACGGACACTACCTGCTGTTCAACGGCCAGCGGCCCAGCGACGGATCCAGCCCCGACCGGACGGAGAAGAGGGCGTCCTCCTACCAGATGCCGCTGGTTCAATGCTCGGCCAGCAGCCAACCGTCAGATTTCAGCAGGACGGAGAACAGGCCTCATCTGAACCACAATGCCTGCAGAGGGGGGCACAGAGGCAGCCAGCAGCACGTCACCGTGGCTCTCCTCACCTTCATCACGTCTCTGCTTCTCCGCTGGCAGAGCTAGAGAGATGTTTTTCTACATAAAGACACAGTGTGGATTACAAGGGCAGACAAACGTTTGACTTCTCTGATGTGAAAGAGGATAAAAACTGGTGATTAAAGTGAACTTGTTGTGACCAGAAACCAAAGACTCGACACTGCTGCTCCACAGAAACTTTAGCACTTTAGAGTGGAACCAAAGACCGACCTGTCTGTTTCCACAAATATACAAAGATATATCCACATAGACCTGAGAGTTTGTTTATACTGTGTATTTACCTACATCTATCAAGTCATTTCTTGGTACCGCAAAAAGACACGATTTGTTGGAAGTCTTTTCTACGATGAACTCAGTCATGGTTTACAGTAAAAGGGAACTACACTACTTACAGCATTTTGTAAATGTTGCCTTACAGTATGACAAACTCTGCAGAAGTTATGTCATCATTTCACATTATTTTGTATACAATAAAGTTACCTACCTTACATGCACCCTGAAGAGATATTTGTATTCACCCACTGATCAAAGAGCTGCATCCTCACTGGCCGACGCTTGACCTTGTTTCTGTTTATTATGTCATACTCGGACTAGGAAACTGCACCTGGAAAATTGGCTTTAACTCCAGCTTCGTGTCAGCAATTGAAGGGGCAATATGGCTGAATTCACAAAACCTATATCATGAGAATATGTTCTGCAAAATCCCAACATAATCAAAATAAGATTCCATTGTTTTGCTTGTGTAAAGATGTTCTAATTTTCAAAATACATACAAATTTGCAAAGACCAAAACGTTTTACTTGTGGGTTTTCGGTAAAAAATGACTGTCACTGTGGTGTCGTCACCCTTGACATGGTGAACCAGTACCTGTTTGGATCTAGCAGGCTTCTGCAATACGAAAAAACATTATACTTCAAAACAAACTCTTAGAAAATCTTTCTAAGAGCCAGTGAATTATAATTGATGGTGCAGAATCCTGAAGAACCTTAAATGGATTCCAAGAAATGTCTGTAACTGGATACATGTATAAGATTAAAGCTTTGATACTCTTTAATGTTGATTTTAAAGTATGTTTTTTCTTTCAGTATACCTATCTCTAAAATAGTTTATCGAGATTGTTATTATGGCAAAGAGTGTATGTCACGGTCTAGTGTCACAAAAGTTATCTGATAGTATGTCATAAAAAAGTAATTGTGTAGTAGGTCATGACAGTCAGAAAAGTATGTTATATAAAAAAGTCTAAGTATAGTATGTCATAAGAAAGGTCATATTATAGCATGTGACAAGAGCAGATAGTATATTCTTTCGTAAAAAAAAAAGACCATATTATGTCTCAAAAAAGTAATGGTGAAGCATGTCATGAGAAAGTTGTAATTAACAAGTCAAAGTATTGTACGTGATTAAAAAGGTCATAGTACAGTATGTGACAAAAAGATCACAGTATGTCATAAAAGGTCAGTGCATAACTTGCCATGAAAGAAATCCTTAAAGGTCATCTCCAACTAATGCTGATTGAGATGGATTTGTTGTTTAGATCCCAGAAATACTATGATAGACGCACGTGTTGGCAGCTGCCTTACCTTCCAGCTCTTCTTCTCATTGACGGGCCTTTCAAATGGTGGATGGGAACAACTATCGATTTGCAAACAGATATTATTTAAGGGCGTCAGGTGACACATAGTTGCAGTAAAGTATGAACTTGTTATTTCGCCCTCTCTCCTGCAACAAAGAACATCCAGTGGTCCTTTCCCACGCTACCCTGTCCTCTCGGAGTCGGTATGAATCACGCCACTTTACGCTTTAATAAAATGATTGCAGGTTTCACTTTTGGGGGAAATAAGCATCCTGTAAAGAACGTTGTGTTTTAGCCTTCATGCTGAAATGAGTTCGGTTTGGGGCCAAAAAGAAACTGCAGATGTTTCCATACAAAGTGATCCAATATACTAAAAATGTACCCAATTACCTTGAAAGAATAACCTCAAAATCAGAGCAACAGCCTGTTTTTTTTTTTGCAAGATGATGCCAATTACATGTAAGAGAATACCCCCCTTCTAACTTAATTTAGCAGCACAGAAAGAGATCTAAACTTTGACCTTGATTAGTCCAGTTGGTTAACAAAGTTAGACTGAGATTTCTTCATTTGAAGCTCCTATAAGAGCAGATGTCCCAGGCTGATAACCCTTTTCTAGTTATGAGACCATTGGCAACTGATAACTGAAAGCCAAATAATATTAGCTGAAATGTCATGACAAAACATACTTCATCAAACCATACTTTGTCCTTGTACTAAGAAAAATGTATCCAATAAAAAATGTTGGCAGCAACACTGACGGAAAAACCTGGCACACAAACGCTCATTTTATGGCATCCAATATTAATGAACACTTATTTTAGCCGTTAATCTGCATTGTGCCCTTCCCCACTGTGGCACAAATAAACATTTCTATTTGTGATCATTGAAGCGGCGACACAGGAAAAGACGGCTGTTGAAACCACATTTTTATTTCTTCAATGCTTAATACCATGGGACAGGATTTTAAGAATGGAAACCTTATTTCAGTCAATATTTGCCTCAGAAGGAATATATGATTTGTATAACAATAATAATATTAATAATAATAATAATAATAATATATAAAGTCTGCATTGGTGTTGTGAGGAAAATCAAAAAGGACAGAAATGTACAAGAAGGAGGAGGCAACTATATCATCCCCAGCTGGACCAGAACATTCCAAGACGAGAAGTAGAAATTACAAACCGAACAAATTTACTTCAGAGGCGATCCAGCGACAGGTAGCAAGGTCTTTTTGATGGAAGTTCTTTCCTTTTTTTGTTTAAAAGGATTTTAAAACAACATTTACAAGACACCTAACATTCCATTCAATTCCTATTAAAAACAACAGAGAGAGAAAAAGAGAGATAGAGAGAAATAAGAGAGAGAGAGAGAGAAATAAATCTAATCGTTTTGACTGCCTCTTGCCCATGGTTCACTCTAGGTGCTTCTTCCATGTTGATAGAATACGACTTTCATTGTCCCGCCACATTACCTGTATAATCCAGCCATCAAAATACAGAAAACTAAAAAAAGGGAGCAATCACTTTTTTTGTCGCCTTTCTTTTCTCAACTGTGTGTGCACTAATCGTGTGAGATTGTAAAAAGGCGACGCCTTCGAATGATGCTGTACAGATGTGTTCGCTGTAGGCCACACTACCAATGATATGGCAAAGTCAACACAAAGACTTCTCGGTTTATCCAGGCCTGTTTTATTTCCGGAGCCGGGGCGGAGGGGGGGATACGGCTGGCATGCATCTCCCAGTCTACAAGATGAACTTCCCTAGGAAGAAACCGATGAAGATGGCTGCTATGACGACGAGGAGGGAGGGCAGGGAGGCGGTGCTGGCTTCTCGGCCGAGGAGGCTAGTTGAGTTTGATGTCATGTGGTCTGAGCGAGGTGGCTTTCTCATTCTAACACCTTCGTCCTGTAACAGAGGAGCAGAACACGGTCAGACATCACGTTTCAAGGCTTTATGTGTGCATAGCTACAGTGTAGTTATGACAATGAAAAATCTTAGGTCACAGGCTCCTCCAACAGTGCAACACAATAACACAGATAGTGTAGAAGTAAATAAAATAGAATAGAATAGAAACAGAATATGATAGAAACTGTGCAGAATAGTCTATATACAGTAATTGGAATATTGATATATATAAGTTGCAAACAGATGAATGTTATGAATGTTCTTTCAAAAGTTCAGGTGTTTAACATTCTTATGGCCTGTGGGATGAAACTGTCTCCGAGTCATGTTCAATACCAGAGGTGTAAGTCACAGGTTTTATGACGACACAATATTAAATCTTGGTGAAGAATACGAGATGTGCTATATCACAGTCTGTCACAATGTGATTTTTAGCCGACTAAATTCAGGGGTCTGTTATTTATAGTAGATGTTATATGTCCATTTAAAAAAAAAAAATCAATGAAATGTATATCAACTCACAAAAGAAACTTAAATATGATTTGACAATTTGGTTACTTGACCAAACACTGATTAAAACTGATGATTTGAGCAGATTTGTTCCACATAGAAAACAAAGATTGTTAGTTTAAATTAACACTACCAGATCAGAGCAGAGTGGTTATGGAAATGACATGTTTTCACTTTGTTGATACATCGATCCAGAAAAACAGTCGTGTATATAATTTTTGATGTTGGTGGGTAACTTGACACTGAAGGGTTTCTTGTAAAAGAGGCTCAGATGTAAATTAGGAAATTAGCAGAATTCAAATTTAGCTCATTTGATTTCAGCTTTCTGGTATCGTACATGTTGGCTTACCGTCTCCCTCACTGGGACACTTTCTTAGAGCAGAGCCTTCTGTGATGTTATTAGTGACAACCTGTGTTTGTCTTACTTTGGAAAGTCAAAATGTCTGCGACAAAGTTTCATCTTGAATATAATATTATCTACACATCGAACCTTTAATTGCCGGTTCTCGTCGGCCATCTTGTTCATCTCATTCTGCAGCCTCTTGCACTTCTCCATCACTTTCTTCATCTCCGGGTCGTCCAGGGAGGCAGTGAGAGGCACCGAGGATGCTGAGGAGTCGGACTTCGCAGAGTTCATCACCGGGGCTGCTTTGGTCGCCTCCACGTCATTCTGCCCAACGAGTAGAGAGAGAGAGAGAGAGAGAGAGAGAGAACCACTGAAGTGAAATCCAGCATGCCCGAAGCTAAGTAGGGAGGTTAGCCTCGAGACGGGAGGCTGAGCCAGAGAAAGGCAGCATGTCTGAGGCCCAGAAGCTCACAGATCAAAGAGACCAGCGAGGAAATGCGTCGCTCCAGAGGTCGGGTTTGATGTGGCTTTGTTTCATGGGATGGACAACATGACGGCATGGGGAGCTTTGTAGTGAAAATACAACAACTGTATTGTAGATGAGGGTTGACAATCACTACACAGACAGGATATGATGTTATTATGCCTTGTACCGCAAGCCAAGGAAAGCATTTATGTGGAGAAACATCAAGGCCCAGCTCATTTTTCTACCACATGATATCAATAAAGAGCAACAACAAACACATGGATGCCCAATCTTAAATGACTGTCCTCTTCTGTCACACAGAGAGTGGGTGTGGGCCTGAGACTGGGGTTAACAAGTGAGAACATATGTTTTATTAATGTAGGCACCTCTAAAGTATATTCAAGCATCCCAAAAATCAACTAAGCTTATTGTCCTAACACATCACTTCACACCTCCTTCACTAACTGTGTAAAATCAACAACACTTCAAATCTGGCAAGTTCTTGGATGTTGTTTTAACCTAAAAACTAATTCCCTGAACACGGACAATAACTTGTGGTCGCTTTATATTTCCCTCAGGCTTCATCTGGTATAATTAGTGATTAACAGAGCGTGGGATTATTCCTTTTGCCTCACAGATCCATCTTTAAAACTCGGTCAACCAGTACTCTCTGTTCTTCAGAATCTCTGATACTACAAGAAAAACAATTTATTTTTGTTTGATAGCCAACTCATTCTTCAATACTAAAGGAATGTTGCTCCGAAAAGTCAACATTATCCCTTACTCTACATCCTACAAAGCCACATACTTAACAGTTTGCACATCATCTAGGAGCTCCACGTGCCACAGCAGAGAGCAGATACCGTGTTGCCTCAGCAGTCCATATATCCTCACTGTAGAGCCTCTTAACATAAGCTAAATCTGGCTTGCCCTGGTTGCATTTTCACCTCAACTGGGAGGACCTGCTGAGCTGTTCGGCGGCACTGCTTATATAAATCCTGAAAACACTGAGTTCATTATTACAGGCTCCTAGAATTCACAGAGTAGCCTGTTAACTAAGAAAACATTTATGCAATCCACCTTTAACGACATGTGATAAAATGTATATAGCTTTTTTGCAAACACTCAGATAAAGGTTAAGTTGGTGCGTGTCATGTTTGACTTAGGGATTGGCAAATCATAAGAAACACATGGAATTTAAATGCAAAAAAATGTTTTTAAATTACATTTAAGGCGCAAGGGTTCACCATGTCTC